TTCCTGCGGCCCGAGACCGCATAATCCGAAATTCCAACAGACCCGGATCTCGAATGTTGAGCATCATGCGCGAGATGAGCACGTTTGACAATCTGGGTTTCAAGTAGGAGAAGATCAGGAGAGAAGATGGGCACCACAAACGCAGAGACGCACACATTGGTCAGAGTCGTAAAGATGCCCCTATATGCGGTCTACGCCGTCCAATCAGCGTCCAGCGCGAGGTTGTGACGATCACAAAGGCGTGCCTACCGGTGCATCCTAGCCAGTTGGCATCCGTCGTAAGGCATAACGGAGCGATGATCTCAGGAGACGGTATATGCAACGCACCAGATATGTGATTATAGTGAACAGGTAACAGATGGCGAGAACCCTGGAGCGGCAGCACCTCATGAAAAATTATCGTCACGACCGTCACTGACCGTAAGGACTTACCCAAAGTAGACCGCCCCTACCGAGGCAAAGCTCAATCAGCGAGGTAGAAGCATGAATGACTGAACGGACGCTTACCGTCCTTGAGCATACAATCAAGTAGGCCATGGCTCCACAAGCGGTCGCTGCGGATGCCCTGCAACAACGTGAGGACGAAGATCGTTCCGTCAAACACGAGCATCACGCCCCATGCTATCGCAAGGACTGAATACTCAAATCAGCTACGGGGCGAAAAGTCAGGAGCACGCATTGGAAGCTACCCACAAGTGGCCCTTCAGGCGAGGGAATACATGTTAGTAGGATAGGGGCAGGTTGTGCAACGTTGTGCTCACTGGTGCATTGATATTGGAAAAGAGCAGCGAGAGGACACCGTCGTATCGGGTGGACTGTGTTCCTGTAGGCTATGAAGCGAGAATATGCTCCACTGCATGAGGCATCATTTGTGAACGCTCTCCTCACGTAGTAGAGGAAGAAGAGCATACTACAACGACTGCGGCACCCAGGGTGAGCATTCCTACTAGTAGATAGAGTACCCGGCGATTGCGCCTGTACAGTGCATGAGTACGAAGTAAGAGACAAACTATAGGACGCATGTGAACAGGTTCAGTAGAGTCCCTGGCTTCAATTGCGAGCAATCAGACAAGCTTACGCGCGACTATCCCTTGACTGAGGCCAATCAGAATCTGGCGGAACGTCTGTAGTTGACGACACCTGCATTGCGCTGTAGTCAAAACATAGAGCATCCTCAAAATTTAAATACTCGCGTCTAGATGGAACGAATGAACCCACGGACTAAATGAGCGCTTTGGTACACACTCACAGAATCTGGTATCTCGGCAACCAATTCGTACACGACGAGGGTATGGGCGAGCAACACGTTGTATCTGTTGAGGAAAAAGAGTACTGATGCCCAGGAGAGAGTCCGGAACCAGTAGCGTTCGACTTCAAGATGGATAGTTTGGGCAAAGTCGTAATATAGCACAGCTGCACAGAATAAGTTTGATTAAGATAATCCATATCTTCAGTGGCAAATGCAGGATTGGGTTCAAACACCATGAACATTTAGAAATTACTCACTTAAAGCGATCGTTGGAAACAAGTGTTGGTACGAAGTGAGTTGTGCCCTAGGCGGAATGTAAGGGGGCACAACCGAGACGCCTCGATACTCGCTGACTTACATAGCCGGACTTGACGGATTCACTTGACTCATTTCAGATCGAAGGTCAAGTACATCTGCTATCCACAGTGCTGGAGTTCCAGTGCCCCAAGAGAGAAAGACGAAGTGTTGAGCAGAGTAATGAAGACCGAGCCAAGGAAGAAAGCAAAGAGAGATAGTGCAGTGGATTGCGAGCCTGCATTTGTGAGGCCGCGACATGCCAGGGTATCAGGACGAGGACTGATCCGAAGGTCTCAGCCTTCAGGCACGATTTGATCCACGTTTTGACGTTGTGGTTGCAGGACTCGACGCTGACCAGGGTGCCGTAGTCACATAGCATACTGAAGAACGGAGGCGCTGTTGAGCTGCACGCTTCGATACGCAGTCAGCTTCAGCCTTCGTATTCGCTGGCAATGACATCCACCAGTGTAGTAAACCATTCCTGTCGGCCACGGATGGCAAGCAAAACGACCGCAATTTGGATTCATACTTGTCCCTGGTGGTGGTTCGAATCAGCGAACTATATCAGAGGGGGGAGCTCGATATGTGGTACCACCACCGCTGTCACATGCATCTGAATTCGCGTGAACCGTCCATGCCTTCTTGTATATATCAAAGATTAGATCGAATAACATCGTAGATGGTGCTTGCGACATCTCTTACTCTGTCACACAATTGCTGGTTGATACGGCTGGTCGTGTCTGAGGTGCCAACGCGATGGAAGCGTCTATCAAGGAACTCCAAAGGCCCCTTTTGGCAAGCGGGCCCGGGTTTGCCCGCCAAATTCGGGCCGCCCATGCCGTGAGCAGGGAAGTCGAGTTACGGGCGGCTATTCGGACTCGGAAGGGATTTAGCGGACGAGTCCAAGTCCAATCCCAATCCCATCCCAAGTGCCCGGAAACGGGGTCTAAGGACTCGGGTGAAGTCGGTGCAAGTGAATGTCGTGTCTCTCTTCCCAGCAGTCGGGGCTTACCATGACAACAGAAGCGACGTTCAGCACTCGGAGCATCATAATTATCAATGCAACTCGACAGTAACGAGGTGGCTTCAGCGAGACTGGCCGACGCACACAATAATTGATCAGTCACATTCCGCGTGCGGATGTCTGTGGTTCTGCCGACCAAGTTGCTTACGAAGGCGTTGTTGAAAGCGTCAACATTCGACGGAAGGCTCGTACTACATAGGTTCCATGTAATGATACAGCCGTTGTAGTCCAAGCAAGGGTCCAAGCAAGGGTCCAAGGTCTACCTACCAAGTACCGTAAACGTGAGAAACAAGAGAAGAGAGAAACGATAACGAGTACAACAACACAGTATCCGTCCATATGACCAAGCACCCCGGAGCCGCCTGTGCTTCAGGTGGCCCTATCGAGTCGTACGTTCCTAACGATACAGCATCCTCCTGCGCCCCTCTCCTTCCCTTCCTTCCTTCCCCCGCTAACCATCTCGGCGTACTAGCACTTGCAGAGCGGACGTGTTGTAGAAATTGAAAGCGAACACGAACGCCGAACGTAAGAGGCAAGAAAAGGAAAGGGAGGGAAGGGTTGAAAGGGAAACGCGTCGGAAGTGGATAATTTACAGCATGTAGTAGCGCGCACGAAGCGCATGTAAGCAATCATGATCGTGCGGCGTGAGCATGACGAGAACAGCCTTATGGCAATCAGAGTCGTGTCAGATGAGATGGGAGAGGCGAATGAAGAAGGAATGTGTGCGTCGTCGAGCTTCGTTGAAGCTTGACGGTGAGCCTCGTTCGAACAGAAGAGTGCGAGGCGACCGCGTGATGCTGGTCCGAGTCGGGTTGTCGGAAGACGCGTGGGTGGCACGTGTATGCGTGTATGGAAGGTGGGAGGTGGAGGTATGGCGTGTGCGTGAGGGGGATGTCGGATGTGATGGTGCTCGTGAAGGTGTCGCGGATGAAGGGAGGGCGGCCTCGAGCGCGCGATTAGAATGGGGTCGCGGTATGTTCGGTGGGTGGTGCAAACATGATAAGTTACTTGTCTCAGGCTAAGCTGAGCATGCGCCCTGGAGAGAGAATCAGCTCCCGTTTGTATGTAGTATCTTCCAGATCTCATATTTACCTAAAGAGCGCGTTTGTGGTGCGGAATGCGTCTACCGTTTAGGCAATGACGCATCCGGAGTGCTGGACCTTGTTAAGACCCTCCTGGTCGACGAGGATGTCCTCGATATCTTCTACAGAGGAGGCCACGGGCTCGTCAACCGGAACGGGAGAAGTGATGACGAAGAAGGCGTCCATGTCGGTCTGGGTGTGCTTGCGAAGATGTACAGAAGGTAGCGCAAGCGGTGGCTCAATGACCCAGCGAGGAAGGCGACGGAGGATTTGTTGACGGCTTAGACTCTGCGACAGCTGAGGCTTTTATGTAGTCGGCCAGCGACAGAAGTGTTGTGTGTGCTGTCAAGATGGGTGGGACAGGCACGGGGAAGTGACAACGAGACAATAGGGAGCAGGGGATGCCGTCTCTTGGGACTGTGCATCTTATGCAGGAGAGCGTGCCCGATGCGGCGCCGATACAGTCATCTAGGGACGGCTCTCAGCCGTATTCATCCCCTCATCGAGTATAGGACGGAACTTGTAAACGATGTCCGCAGCGTCATATCAGTCGCTAGATTGGTGATTGCCTACCGACGCATAGCCATCCGTATCCCGACGCTCCAGTGGAACATGCGGTGCACTTAGCGGCAACATTGTCTTGCAAGGCATGCCCTGCGCCCCGAGTTGTCGTCAGTCCCGGTCAGTAACAAGAGCAAAGCATTGCCGTACTCACCTCGGAGGACTGCCTCTCTTTTCCGTTACGACACGAGTATGTCCTGTGGTCTCACAGTGTTATCCAAATCAGACGCCTACATACATCGTGCCTCCATAGCTTATTGTTTAGCGGTACCAACGCGCGATGAGCGGGAGATACACACTCGTGGTAACTCAGGGAAGCGCGGAAGCGACATTGACGAAATGGCATACAAATTCACAGCGAGGCCGCCGTGCCCATCACCACGCTATATCGAAGAGAACGTCTTCGCGCCCGATGTGCAACACGAGGAATCCGCCTCGGAGGATCGAGAGTGAAGCCGCAGATGCCGTCGTGTCAAGAGACTCCGCAAGACAAAAGGAATTAGCGCCGGAAGGAACATCGCGAACACACTATTCCACCCCGATCCGGAAGGTCGGCTTTCCGCATGAGCCAGCCATCCGCACCGAAGTGAAACGAGTGATTGTCTGGCGAAAATAGCCAAGTCATTTGTGACACCGCGTCATTCCCGACTTCTAAGGAAGACGGCCAGTCCGGTGTTTCTCTCGGAGTCTCCTGCAGTCGGGGCGAGTCATCCGCTACGGAAGGAACTTGAAGTGTGCGCGAGCTCGAGACTCCTCCAAGTGATCGCTCTATATGTACTGATCACAGAATTGTCAGCCATAAATGACAGGATCCATAGCTGAAAATATAACATACCAGACCGGCCCGATGACGCTCAGCATGGCCGCAACTTGACTCGGGCAGGGAAATGGTTAGAAGTACTACTTCACAATATCAACAAGAACGCGCAGAGTCTCGCACTCGACACAGACGCGTTGAGCCACCGAGAGTGGGTCCGTGCCGGGCAAGCGTGCTGAGGTGGCAGTCCACACTCATGACAAACACCAAGTACGTCGGCCTTAGCTCATGGTACGGTCGACGTGATGTATTGGTATAGCCTGGGCTTTTTCAATGTAGTAGCGAAGTCACAATCTGGAGTAGATGAAGCCAGAGGATTTAGGAGAGGAGCGCAGAGTAAAGTCTGTTGAGAACGATGTTGAAGGCAGCGGGATAGGCTTACGTCAGCACCTAAGGATCGGGAACGGAAATCTCCATCCTCTAGACTTAAGTACTCGCACTCTCCTGCAGTTCATACATCATATGCATGATGTTGGACGATCTGTACATGTGCCTTTGCTTGGGCTTCAATTAAAATTGCGCAAAGTAACAATGGCATTACCTTTTGACAATCTGTAGTTCATGTTTCACTGCATGAGTGCCAGTGTGTGTACATCCATCTGCCTAAAGCATGCAGCACGAATTGAATTACAACGTGTGCAAGTAGATGGCTCAAGTATCTTGACCTTGTTACGATGAACGTTTCAGGTATCGTTCAATCTGAGTGAACGCAACGTGGCGCCGAACATACACATGCGCCCGGTCATCTACTAACGAGAAGCTTTCCGGGATATCCCGAGAAAACACCTGAGGGCGGTAAGCGAGCCCACATGCGCACGTTGCAGTCGTTCCTTCGCTGTTGCATGTTGTACGAAGCTCTTCGAACGGCAGGCAGACCAGCACACTCCACGAGTCCTCGGAGATGCCTTGCTTCAGACATGCCACAATCATGCTGGCCTGCATTCACCCTTACGACTTAAAGCGGCCTGGATTCCTTCCGCGAGCAACTCCCCACTGAAGCTATCACAGTGCACCTGTGAACTCTGCCGACCTCATCAAAGTGCGCCTGTCGCTCCTGTCTGCGAGCTTAGACGCAGAAGTGCGTAGCTATCCAACTCACCATGGTGTCCTCCCGAATGTTGACTATGATATCTAGCTATCAGTGCCAACGACGGGCTTTACAGACGATCTTCGGACGTGTCCACCTGTGTGCATTGCTTCGGTGAGTACGTCCCTGAAGTATCATTATCACCATTGACTTTCTTCCGGACGGTCTCCTTCTGTAGATTCTGCGACGATGAGGCTGACGTATGACGTTCTCTTCATTATACTCGAGACGCAAAGTCTTCAAGACCGCATTCATGACCTCTCCTCAATGTCTCGAGCATGCCGAACGCTCCGAATTCAGGCCATAAAACACTTGCTTGATCACGACGTTACGTTGCGCGACGCAAGAGACACCCTGTCCTTCGCACTCTTCATGCTTGGCGACGAGGACCGCCGCTTCCCTCTCCTTCGTCGGTCGCTGTCGATTAGGACCGGGAAACTCTCCGGTCGGGCAGCCCTTGCGCTTTTCGAGCTCGTCTCGAGAATCTGGTCGCTAGAGCGCCTCGTATTGACGAATGCCGATCAGATCCTCGCATCCGACGCCAGGCTCCCACGCGCCCTTGCGTCCCTCACCTGTCTCAAGCACCTCGACTTCCACGCGACGCAGGACTCCAACAACTCCGACTGCGTCTACTTCTTCAAGCGCATGCAGTCTCGACTCCTCACCGCTTCTCTGCACCTCCCTTCCCCCATCCGGCGTTTCATGAATGGCCGCCTCAACTGCGAGCTCGTCGACCCTATACGCCTTCTCCGAAACTCTGCAGACACACTAACTGAGCTCCACGGGTGCAACTTCGAGGCTCGGCGCTCCCACGACCTCGTCTATCCACACCTAAAGCGACTCAACGTCCATCTGGGTCTCATTCCGCTCATCGCGCCGTACATGGTCTCCTTCCCGAACGTCACTTCCGTCGAGGTGACATGTGGAGCTGCGTTCGAGCCGAGCACCGTACCGTCCTTCAGCTTTATGAACGAAGATGGTCAGATGAACATCAAGCCTTGGTCCGCATTGGAGGAGCTTGTGGGGAACTTGACAGACATCTACGTCCTTGCTCTTCGTTGCACAGTCACGACACTCCGTGTCAAGGCTTCAGGGAGACATCGCATCTTGTCATATCTGGCAGAAGTCTTGTCGCACGCTAGACCGACTCATCTGCTACTGGAGGTGGAGTCGCCATCATTCTGCTTGGAGAGCGATGACAGCTTGATGTCCGTGTTCCGGCACGGAGATGCTCCCCAGAGCATCCGAACGTTTGTAGTGCGCATCGTCCTCCAAGGGGAGGATTGCAAGGCTGATCTGGACGATCTCTTCGTGCGCACTCCTCCTCTTGGCTTCGATGGTCTTCCGGGGTGCTGATATCCACCGCCGTCGTGCGCGCAGGTCCGCGTAATCGAGACGATCAAGCCTCTCCCTCTCACCTCCTTCAAGGTGCAGATCCTCCACGAGAGCCTAGACCTGGAACCCGACGACCGGGATGGCCTGCAGGATCTTGAATCAGCGCTCGCCCCATCGCCTAGCGCGCGAGTGGCGCAAGAAGGAAATTTCTGCCTCCTAGAGGCGAAACTCCGCGAATGGGATGCTACACGTCACGTAGACTATGTCCGACAAGCATGTCCGTTGTTGAAGCAGTTGACAGTGGAAGATTTGGGCTGCTCCGTGGTTCCCTGGCCGCTGCTTTCTGTGCGTTTCTAGTGTGCGCCGGGAGGGTATAGAGCGGCTGCAGATGAGTAGTATGATATGGTACGTGGTGTGCTCGTTCTCGACGCTCGAGCTCATATACATTGGAACATGCAGTTAGTCGCAATGACAGCCTGTGTATAGAGTGTGAACCTCGTAATCTATCCATCTTCTTGGCATTAGTGTGCTGCTGAAGCCCGGCAGAACTTATGCAATTCTCGTTGGTGGGATTCCTGCTACGGTCAAGCGGCGAGCAACCGGGTCAGGATGATGTGGGCTCGACGCCTTGCGCTCTACCATTTCTCAGGCCAATGCCTTGATCTTCGCAAGGTGGTCCTAGCTTCGCTCGACTTGACTGGTCAGATGGAGGATCTCCCTCTACGACTGGAGACGTCGACGCACAGGCCCTCTGCGATCTAGGTCGTCAAGGTAAAGAAGAGGTTTGCACAATATCGGGGTCCAGATGAGTTGATAACTGTGGATGACACGGACACAATCTTCGCTTATTCGCCCATACATCCATCAATTGGCGCCTCCGCGCGGAAACTGTGAGCAGTTTCGGTATGTAGGTCCTTTCGTCTTACTTACTGCTATCCGAGTGCACGGATGACTCATAGTTGTATTTACTGCGAAACAACAGGAATCTGGGTGCGGAACAGAGAAGTGTCTAGGCACGCTTTCCTGAGCATCTCAGCTGATCCCCACAGTGCGAGTCATCTTTAAGTTTGGTGTGTTCCGGCAACGATTTTGGCACGGAGAGATACCTGCTCGGAGCCAGTACATTCCATGAACAGACTGTGCAGCCGGGGAGACCGAGGACGCGGTTAGAAGCAAGTTTTTGTATACGGTGGCTTTTGGATACGGTCTGTACAGGGTTTGTCTGCCGCGTTGGCTACTGTATGTCATCACAATTGCACTCGATACAGCCAGCTGGCCCTGCGATTATGACGCATCATCCAGGCACGGCATGGATTCAAGATCAAGGCTATACATGCTCTGCGCCTAAATATCCATTGCTCTTTCGTGTGAGGTGCCATTTGAGAGCATATATTCCTTTTGAAGGCAACACCGTAACAGCTTTTCCACCGACAGGGCAGCAGCTCCCTGTAAGAGGTAGTAGCACCAAGGGTCCAGGATCGCCGAATTGTCAAGTCATAGTGCATATATTCTAGTTTCAAGGCAGCTTCAATATTCCGAACATACTTGCCACAGGCTGCTATTGTCTAAAGTTCAGGAAACGGCAATTTTTTCGTACACGAGCTCTCCTCTCGGTCCCGACGAAGTTCTGGAATAACACGATGCTCATATTGATTCTGATATCTCACAACGTGGCATCTATACATATCACGATAATTCATTTGGTCAGCCCTGGTCTACAAGGTTCATCTCCAAGGCGACCTGTAGTCCAAGACATTCCGAGTCTACAGTCGAAACCCTCATAACCCATACCCCTCGGGATAAGCCTCGAAGTACTATCGCGACCCCAGTGTTCGGACAGACCCCAGTGTTCGGACAAACGACCGTATCTCCGTCATTGTACACCCGATAAACTTGCAATTTGGAAGGTAGGTGCTCATATGTGTTCCAAATCAGCAGCAAAAAGAACTGAATTTATATCATAAGCCCGTGGGGCGATCTTGAGGAAGGGAGTGGTGCAACCCATCCCTATCAAAGCTTCGGGAGTCTCGCTTCGTATCCCTCTTCGGGCGCTTCCATCCAAATCTCGTGTACGTATTTCAACCTACGCATATTGCTCAATACCCAATTTTCCGAGGCCTGCTCAGGGGAACACAGAGGAGAAACAAGAAGCAGCCCTCGAGGGCGTGACAATGCAGCCACAGTTTGACTCTCCGACTTGCTCGGGATGCTCGGCTAAGGCTCATAAAGCTGGAGAACGGAGATTCCCCGAAGACCGGCAGGTGTCGGCAAGCGTGACAGATCGTGACCTGCTGTGCGGAGAATTGTCCGAACACTGGGGTCAGGCCCTGTATATCCTGTCTCCATCGCTCGTGTCTCCTTCAATATTTCTCATGTTTGGCAAATAGCCTATGCATATGCATCTCCTTTTGCATGCCAAAAATGAGCATTATCGGAGTACAGGAAAGTACATAAAACGAAGGGATTTCGCAGCGGGCGCCTTTTTGTCCGAACACTGGGGTCGCGATAGTATGGGTTATTGGAGGTTATGGGATAGAAGGAGTTTAGCGCCTAATAAGCGCCCTGGATATGCCAGGTACGTGGGCGTCAGACGGGCGCTCACCTCTCGTTTGCAATCGATGCCGGGATCGTTTTGTTATGTCGAGCCCATCCAGAAACATCGGGAAGTATGAAGCAATGCATGGATTAGTCGGAAGCTTTGATTGAAGCAGAAAATGCGACAATAAGGTGCTTAAGCCCGTCCAAATGTGCCCTTAACCCTTCTGATTCATGGGTTATGCCGGCCCAAAGAGGTATGGGTTATGGGTTATTGCAGGATTATGGGTTATCCCCCCTATACCAACCCGGGAATTCCCCGAACCTATGGGTTATAAGGGGTTATGGGTTATGAGAGGTATGGGTTATGAGGGTTTCGACTGTACTACTCTATATCCCGCCTAGTCTCTCGTCTCCAAGACAAGCGAGACCGTGCGCCCACAAATCGCGCATATCCTAGCTCGAACACCACATCATGATATATTACCAAGATTGCGATGAGATAGATCTCTCCTGCCCTGATACCAGGACCTTCGAGATCGATGCTACTCCGCAAGACAAAAGGAGGCGTGCGCGCAACGAACACTATCCTTGCCTAATCCGGGTAGCGCGTGCACACTGGTGGGCCCGGATATCCAGCGCCTAAAGTACACGGGCGTCCGGTCTCTTATTGTGTTGGATGGTTAGGGAAGGTGCTGACTCCCTGCATCGGATGATTTTCCGCGTAGGCAGAGACCGCAGCCCAGGGCGGGCAGCTCGACGCAATTGTGAGTATCGGGGCGGGGGGACCGGTGGCGTTGAAAGAGTGTCTGAGAAGGGACCGCACCTCAGTACACTGCATTGAGTGTAATGGAGAGGACAGGGGCACGAGCTGTCTGACAGGAGTAGAGGACGGTTTGAGTGATGATAGCGCCGTGTCAGATTACACTGCACGACTGTGCGAAAAGGAAGCGCGAAACGAAGTCGAAGATAGCCTGCCTCGCACGCGCAGTCACCACGAAAACCTGCCCAGAGCAGAAGGAGCATCCGCGCCTCGCAGCGTGCCCGCTATGTCATATTGCGATCCGGATCTTCCTGAAACTTGCATCTAGTGGCGCTGTGTACGACATATCCCGTTCCCCGGAGCCCGACGTACACAATAACGACGTCTCAGATGACTCAACGTCGTGAGCCAGGCGCACTCGCCGAGTCCTCGACCCGGCTCGGGCTCCCCGAGGCCCTACCATCTCGTATGGAGCGACAAGATGAAGCAGAACCCGACTAAATCTGAGGATTTGGAAACAAATCAAATTGTACTAAGCGCGTTGTGCTCGTCCAACGCTGCATTCGACTATCCACTCACCGCGGCACCCATGCAGCGAATCGTCGTCAAAGCCCGACAGGATATCTGGTTCGTGCAGCACGGCGGATTTCCGGAATTCCTGCCTCACGCTCGGAAGGACCTGCCAGTCACGCCGGCCGGCCGCCTTGGCCCACTGCTCTATTGTCAGTGTCGTCGTGCCTGGGAGGACAGAGCGCCCCTGTCCGCTGCTCTCATGCCAACGCGGTTAAATAGCAAGTTGACAGGCTTCTTGTGTCTCTCTCGTCGACAGACAACGGCACGCTCTCGAGCCACTCAGCGCAGCGAACTTCTTCGCTTCCAACGCTTCCACGCTCAACACCGTCCTCTCCAGCTCAGTTGTCATGGACGCGTTCTTCACCATCTCCTCTCCCCTCCCCGTCGAGGAGCCCGCCGTCGAGGACATCCTCGTCGACTCCGAGGGCACCAACAACCAGCAGCACTCTGGCTGCGTCATCGCATAACCCCCGCGAGGCAGAAGGGCGCGCCTGCTCACCTGGTACGTCATCCCCCGTCCCATTTCCTCCTGTCTCAATGCCGGGCTGACATATATCATCCGCCAGCGTAGAGGGAATAGCCCATACACTCACCACCATCTTGACGGCGAGCGAGCACGCCGCATGCTCGCTCCGACCACACCCACCCACGACCCGTCACGGCCTCGCCAGCCACATCTTCGTTCACGGCGCCTTGCATATCTTTATCGGGTTCGCAGAACCCCGATGCGACTAACTTATCACCTTGGCCAACGGTGTTTGATTGTTTCTTCACAATTTACGTCTCGGACTCCACGCGTAGAAGGGTAGGAGTGGGGGAAGCGGGGAAGGAGGCGAGACGAACATTTGACGACTATTTCGTTCTGTATTTGTCCTAGATACATCTAGAGACGACCCACTCTCATTGTACTGTATACATGCACTTCGCGACTCACCAGCGACACAACCCCATTTGTTCCGTATTGTAGTAATGGTACTGCTTGGACTGCATGACTTGCAACGACCGATCTGAGACGATATGAGCCACGCAAGAAGCCTCGGAAAGGTAAGAGACTCACCTGGTCAGTCCGCACGCGTGCTTACGCCCTTGAACACGACGTCGTCGCACGCATCACATTACCACTGGTGCAAGGAAGCCAACTGCGTTCCGTCCGATGTCCCTATGATACAAGACCGGTATTCCCGAGAGCAACAACAATAGTAAGACTCGAAAGCAAATCGACGATTGTCCGCGCCCCCAGTAAAGTGATGATTTGCTGCGATGCAGCACGCATGCATGTCATGAATCGTCCCCACCTTCGACGTCTTCAGCCGGACCGGACAGGTCGAAGCCGGCAACGTGTAGGACTGCCGCGAGCTAGACCGCGTGGGACCTCAGTGAGCAGAGCACAAGTGCAGGCTATGACGGCAATTCGCGTACCTCGACTTTCGCGATCGACTTAATCTGCTCGAAGTCGTACCCCTCCCGCTCGCTCAGATCACCTGCGAGACGGCCAGATTAGCACAAAGATTCGCCATGACGCAGGAGATGAACAGACCGCTATCGTGGTACATAGGGTCTGCGATGAGCCCTATCCGCTCCTCCACCTGTGCAGCAGGGAAGCCGTACTCATGGAAGCGCTGGTGGTCGCTGCCGCCGGGCTGCACGAGGGCCGTTAGCAACCAGTCGCAACTCTCTCCGCGGAGGGGAATACTCACGTAGGGAGAGTACCCGACTTTGAGGTCAGGGCTGTAGATCGCAGAGACGTTCGCCAAGATCTGTGTGACCTCAGCTGTGCCGACCCTGTTCGGACCCGTCAGCGCAATCTGGATGACCTCGGGCCAAACAAGCACCCACAGAGCAGGATCCGACAGCGCAAGCTGGGGCAACTCCCCGGCAACATGGTACGCCAGCATGTCGCCCTGGATCATCATCGTGACGTTCGCCCCAGCGTCCTTGAGCGTCCCTGTCGTGCGCGACGGACGTCAGCCGGATTACCGAACGGGGGGGGGGGAAAGTCAAAGCGTCGCAACTTACGCGCATATACCCGCGACCCGACCATGCCCTGCTCCTCGCCCGCGAACGCGACGAGCTGGACGTTCTTCCGGAACACCACGCCGCGGCGCGCGATTGCGCGCGCGATGCCCACGAGCGCGCCCGTGCCGGAGCCGTCGTCGTTCGCCCCGGGGGCGCGCGCGCTCCCGAACGAGCCGCGGGAGTCGTAGTGCGCGCCGACGATGATCGTCTCCATCGTGTTCGTCGACGCTGCATACGTGCTACGTTCGGATGAGTGAGAATACTGAGGTAGCATGGCATGGAGGCGAGAAGACGTACCAGATGACGTTCGGAGCGAAGCCTACCTGAAAGGCCTCCAGGACGCACGACGCCCCCGTCTCCTCTATCTGCTCCTTCAGCCACTCCGCCGCGCGGAGCGCGCCCTCCGTGAACGAATGCCGCGAGACGATGTTCGACAACGCGTCCTCCCCAGTCAAATACCGGATGTCCCTCCGCAACGAGTACACCGAGATCCCGTTGACGATCGACGCGACGACGTGATTGAACTTGATCGTCGAAAGCGCCTCTCTCAGCCTTTGCTTCGCCTCCTCTGGTACGGGGTACAGAGGGATGGGGGCTTCGGGGAAGACCGAGTACCGCCAAAATCGCGGGAGCGACACTTCACCGAAATTCACCGCGTCCAGAACAGAAGCGCCCATAGAAAGGAGCACGCCGTCGTGTGCCCGGTGCAGTGTCTGAACAGCGCGCTCTGTCGATCTCGCGGGCCGCTGTGATGTACTCAATGGCAGCTGCGGCGCCCGCGCGATGCCGCTCGACCAGGGGCTCGTGCGTGAGTGCGAGGAGAAGTCTGTCAGGTTGCCAAGCACCCAATCGAGCTCGACATCGAACGGCGCGTCCAGCAGGGAGGGGTCGACGCGCACGCGCTCGAGCCATACGAGATGTCGGCTCTCTTGCCTGTCGTGCGTCGCCTCTGGGGGCTTGTCCGCGTCCTTCAACCCGGGTATCGAGACGAAGTAGTCCAGACCCCCCGGGTCCCTGCCGCCCTCCGCGTAGTAGTGCGCCCACGCTTGCACCATCGAGTCCTCGTACGTCGCGTAGGGATCGAAGGCGTACGGGAGCCCTCCGGGGGGCGCAGCGTCGTGATGTGGGCGCGGCTCGGAGTCGGTCAGGCGGACGGAAGTGCCGAGGCCCATGAGGGAGAAGGAGGACGTCCAGCAGGCGTCGTCGACGATGAAAGCATGGCGGCCGCCGTAGATGCCGTAGTAGTTTTGCTGGAGACACTTGTACGCGCCGAGTTTGAGGTTGGAGAGGGGGACGAGGAGGAGGGTCGTGAGAGGCAGCAGCCCCTGGACCATAGCGATAGCGATGACACTCAGGCCAGAGACGGAGACGAGGAAGAGGATCGAGGTTGGATGGTAAGATTGAGTTAAGTTTGAACTTCACAGGCGGAGAAGCCGCCGTGCCGCGATGTGCCCGCAACGGACAGCAGGCTATGCCGTCCGCGGCATCTGCGACTTTTTACTGGGCAATACGGCACTTATCTGATGTTCTCAAGTCAATACCGGCTGCGGCCAAGGAAGCCCGCAGAATATTGGAATGTCATCCCTGACGTGAGGAGGAGATTGGGCAGGGATTGTGGGCGGAGTGTTGTGCGTATGTGGTGGCGAGTGTGTTGCCTAAGTACCGGCATGCCCCGCTTCTCCTCATTTGGAAGGTGCTCATGCGAACGCCACGAGGGCTGCGCGCAACTTAAACTCGGTCGTCGCTCACGCTCAAACAAGACTCGCACAGAGAGCATGGTAGGATAACATGGCCATGTTATCATCTAATCGCACGTATGCTGAATACACTTGGATGCTGTAGTAGGTGGTGTTTGTCCACTGGACGCGTCCAGGACGAAGTTCAAACGCGGCGGCCTGCCAGTCGGGTGCTCTCTCTCCCCTCCATCATCATCATTCCCAGAAAAATCCCTCCCCGCACCTCGGGACTCCAGGCGGCCGATAATGGATGCGATAAGTTAACGAAAAGGTGAGTCGAAGATCGAAAGTGGACATCTTGAGCGCCGAGGCGAAGAACGAAGAAGTGGTGCCAGAGCGCGATGCGTGGTCGTGAGGTCGTCGAATGGTCGAGAAAGAGTGTGGCGGTAAGGTAATTGTTCGGTGATGTTCGAATAGTAGTCGTGCGTGGGGGTCCACGCTAAAATAATCTGCGAGGCCTAAGGTGAGCAACTGGGGTGTGTCTGCAGAGGAGCGGAAGAGGCTTACCATGCGCGTCACAGAAGGTACCAGAGAGAAGACGAAGGATGCACGCCAAAGGCGGCGGATAGAGTCATAGAGACTCAGGCGATGGTGCAGCCGCTGTGGTTATCCCCAGAGCCATCGTCGCAGTTGATGAACACGACGTCGGTCGCGGGCTCGTCGATCTCGACGGGGACGGCGGGGGCGATGGTGAAGAACGCGTCCATGACGATTTGTGGGTGTATGTGTGGTTCGTGGGTGAGTAGGGTTCGGTAAGTGTGGTAGGAGGTGCGTTGGCGGGATGCAGAGAAGAAGCGAGTCGTCGAGGTACCAAGGGTGAGTAGGTAGACCGGATAGGGCGACTGGAGACTTCGCTGCTGTTCCTGGCCGCGGCCGCGGGGGTATTTATGCGTTCTCCATCCTACCTCTTTGCCTCTTTGCCAGACAAAAGCGCAGGTCCGCGGATGGATCGGGCCACGGGTGGGGTCTCGGGGAGGGCGTCATGGCTGGAACGCGAACGGACGGCGCAAAAAACAATAAGGTGAGATAGCGCCCGCTGCATGTCTGAGATCGTGAACAGCCAGACAGATCTCCCGAGCGAGATGGGTGTCGTTCGCGTCACCCCTGTGTCTTGTCTCCCCTGTCAAGTGCATCTCGATATTGCCTCTACTGCCCGCCTGCCCGCCGCCCGCCGCGCGCTCACGCACCTCCGGCGTGCGAACCACCCACCGTCAGACAAAGCGCGCGCAAACCTTACACCCGCGAGACACAGGCCTGGGTTCGTGACTGCGAGTGCGTGCGGGCGGCTCATGAGTCGCAAAGACAATACGAACGATCGCCCAGCATCAGCTGCGCACTGTACGAAGACTCACATAATCTGCAACCCTATCCCGTAATCTATCTGGTGGCCAAGGGACATATCGCAGGGCATCACATACATTGATCCCGCCACTAGACAAGAAACCGCACGCCACGCGGAGACGACATGGGGTGCAAAGTCGATGGTCGTTTATTGTTATGCTGGGCGCCTGATCGCCCACAGGTGTTGGCGCGCGCGGGTGTTCGGGATTCGGGAAGACCGGCGATCTGGAGTGCCTGGGTACGAGGATGCGAGGTAGGAGGTTCGAGAGAAGAAGTCGGGCCGCGTGCTTTGATCTGCTTCTGGGAACACTTGCCTGGGGGGGAAGGAGCGAGTCATGAGGAGAGGAGAAGTTCTAAGATGGGCGCTGGGACACGCTAGTGCGTTGGAGACTTGCTCGAGACAAAAAGCGAGAGTGTGCTCTGGACTTTCAGGGTGTGCGCAGTGCGCATTGCATGGCGGTATATGAAGAGCTATACCGTAAGTATGCCGCGGGGCGACACGTTCTTTTTTGTTTGGTCGTTCGTGCATGAGAGTATGCGTGGACTTGGCTATGGGATGAGCGGAGAATACGCTGCTATTCTTGGATGCACAGGCGATAGGATGAGTGACGGGATGGGAAAGACAATGCGACAGAACTTTGATTTCCTGGATGGTACTAGCTAGCTGTCTGCAAAGTCGGCAGCGAGGGCGGTGTATCCGACCTCACCGTTACTTATGCGAAGTCCTTGCAGAGCTCCGGCCTGTTCTCGTGCCCGGGCCCACACGGTGAGCCGAAGACCAGTACCAGTTCTTGCGCTCACTCGTGTCATTGTGTCCAGTGTTGTCATTGACCCGTCAGTGACGGGGTCGGTCGATGCGTCAAGTCAAAGGGTCAATAGGTCACGTCAATGATGGACCCGTCAATCAATCGTGGGAACCTCATCGTGATTGGCCCAGGATGGGATGACGGGGACCGGTCATCGGCTAACCCGGTCCGCACGCTCTTCAGACTCGAGTCGCGAGCCTGCATATGTAGTTGTGCGAACCTGTAAGACTTGTCTTGGATATGAATTGACTCTGCTTCCTCTGGAACGTAAGTTGTGCACCTGGGTCCACAGTTGTGTATTTGGAGAGAGAGAAACTACGACTTGTATTTAATGTAGTTGTGGTCATACATATCGGGACAGGGATTTGGACATGTTTGCATCAGCAAAAAGTCGATGAAGAGGGGAAGCACAGAACAAAATATTCGTGCGGATTCTGCTTCACCAGACAGAAGTCCTCGGAAACAGTTGCTTTCTGCGTCCCCTCACGGCCCTCAGTTGCACCAAATATTCCTGAGCCAAATGTTTTCTCTAGGAGATACAGCCCGTGTATGCTGCAATTGTGGTCATCTGTCTCTCCAAATACTTTCATGTAGTAGAGCTTACAACATTATCTGCACCTTCTCTACTTGAGTACCAAGAGAGACCACAATGATGACTGGGAGGTTGATGCCCCAGGTCGGATCGGCCTCAGCAAGCTTTCAGCTGAAGAGACCTGGACTGATGACCTTGCAAACTCAGACTTAAACAGGTGCTATATCATACTACAATCTCCTGGGGAGCCACACGGGCAACCCGACGCAGGAATAATGTTCAGGACCGTGCACAGTAGGTCGGACTTGGTCTGGATTGACCGGCGTCTCACCGCCCCTTAGACCGCATGGCTCATGGTCACGTGTTTGATTGACGGGTCACTGACGGGTCATTGACGCGTCAGTAGGGGGTCGATCGATAGCATTGACACGCATTGACGCATTGACTTTGACGCGGACAGCACTGGTTGTGTCCGGCGTTCAATCTGCGTTAGAGGTTTTCTTTCTAGCGCTCGAACATACGACAGGAGAAGGTGTACAATCTTGTCCTACCAGTGTGCAGAATAGGCTTGGCGAGAACAGGTGTGCTTCCAACTATACACAGACGTGCGGCTCTATGCATGTAGCTATAAATCCCGGAAGAAGGGCGGTTCGTTGTCCGCGTCTCGCTGCTTGCCGATGTCGATGAAGTCTGCTGCCTTGCGGCGCTAGACTTACCATAGGCACCAGCGAACAGACCAGATCTTGCGACGTCTTCGTCTTCTGCGATTCCACAGTTGCACCTTGCACATCAATCTACTCAACAGGCTGTAGAATATGGTCCGGGTCGCTGAAATATGAAGAAAAACAAGGAGTCAGAAAGCTGACAATGTAAGTCGTCCATTGCGATCCCATGAAAGTCCCGCGTTGATCTGCAATCAGGCTGCAGGCCTCATCAGTCACGAAGCGCAAGACGTATGTTACACGTCCACCTTACTAACTAACTCATAAGAGTACAGTAAGAAGTCGGAAGGTTGATCACTTGCAAAGACTTTTACCATGGCAGGGATCGTCGGGCTGGCCATACGTGGCCTGAAGATCGTCGTTGCATTGGCAATCGGGGCGCGATTGAGAAGTGATAGGCGTCTGCGCACGAACGTTGGTCATTTCCGGGGCATCGTCGGCCTTCTCTCGTGTCCTCGAGCATACGGAACACCGGTGCTGGCGGTTTCTTCCTGAGAGCCAGTCAAGCGTTGCAAGCGGATTGACCAAGTCGGAGACGCTCGAGCGCCAACAGACGGCCCGGGCAGGGTGGGCGTTCCACGTGACGTCACCGATGCGGTCGATTGAGCTTCTCAAAAAGTCGAGAGACCCCAAGTTTCTCCCTGTTTCTCTCTCCCCATCTCCCTCTCGTCCATCGACCTCCTTCGACGTCCCAGACGCCTCCGACGCCCTCGATGAGCTCGCTAAGACACCACAGAATCATCATCGCCTCCCTCTTCCTGCCCAACACCACCGTCTTGGGCGACTCTGCGCCGGCTTCTCCGAACGAGTCTGCGCTCGGCTCGTTTGTCCCTTCGACGCCTTCGCTTTTGACCCCTGGAACGCCGGGGCGGCAGCCTTTACTCCCCAAAGCCACTGGTCCGCTCAAGAGCATCGTCGAGGATTTGAAGGACAAGGTGAGCGTTCTGACTATACCAGAGCCGTCTATCGCCGCAGTCTCGGTCCCGCGTAGCCTCGTAAGCAGACGTCATGGGACGCAGAATGTGTCCCATGAATCCTCACTTTGACGTTCGTACGTCATGCAAAGGATGTTGGCCGTAAACCTGTCGCACATAGTGTGACGATATATGTGCGATACATGCTGTTCGTTCCCTCTTCTGTGACACTGGGCGTATGGATCTGGCAGCGGCATTTCTCCCATTGCCCACATCACAACACGTATCCGGAGAGCTATGGTATGCACACATAATTATAACGTGTAGCAAGTCTCCATGGCGTTCGAGCAAGGCCTCAGGTGGCCCTATAGGCCGCTCAATTCTTGAGGATGCGGGACGCAGAACGCACTCAGAGCTCGTTTGATGGATGTGATGGGCTAGCCGAACCTGCCGCATACGGCAAGGTACCAACCTCATTTCTCGTGCCCGTTGTTTTCCAAGGGGTCTGTCGTGTCCCAAGCCTCACAGAAAAAGTATGATTCGCGAGTATGTTGAAGATGAAAGCTTTCCGCGTCGATTGACACTACCCTTGAGGCACTTTGTGAGGGGGTAGGAGTGTCATCCTCACTCGAGGGGTTTCGAAGGCGAGCTTGTCGACTAGTCTCGCTTAGCCCATCACCTCCATCGATGGCCTCTGAACGTGTCCTGCGTCCTGCGTCCAAAAGAATTGAGCGGCCCTTATGAGGAACTTGAAGGTCCGTGTGAGGCCGTGGTGACCGTCTCCCGAGAGAGCCGTATGATCTCATTGGCTCGCGGCAATCCTTCGTTCTCTCGTGCAAACCATCAGTCTTCATGCGCTCAAGGATTTCACTTTTGAATGGCTTGCTAAACCTGACTTCAGAGCCGCCATCCGACACCCTCCATAACTCCTCGTGCTGAGGCTGCCAACCCCTTCTCGAGGATAGGTTCCTCGATTTCCGGTCCAGAATCTCTGCTTGATGCCCTTGCGAAGTTGAACGGGACCAAGACCATCAACGCTGGTAGTTCCACTTCTCCCCCAAACGGTGCACGCAACTTTCAGACCACCCACCATGGCAGTAATGCCCACACGCGGGTGCAGAGGAGGTCATCTCGCTCGTCTGCGCATCGCGCCGCCTCCCGCTCCTTGTCGTCCTCCCGGCACGATCCGGGGCATCACAGCATCAAGTGGCATTTCGAGAACAATCCGCACGTACGTTTGAACTGCATTGTTGCTTGCTTATCTATTATAACGAGTCTTCTTTCAGTGTAACGGTGGCTTGAAGAATGCCATCGAATCCGTCGGCGACAGGCTTCGGCGCAAGCTTTGGGTCGGTACGCTAGGGACGAACACGGATGGCTTCCGCGAGAGTCTACGCCGCAACATCGAATGGCGCATGCGGGAAGAGCGGGAAAGTGTACCGGTCTGGATTCCCGATTCGGACTTTGCCAGCTGCTACGACGAATTTTGCCACCAGGTGCTCTGGCCGGCCCTCCACTACGCCGTTCCCGACGCACCAAAGACCAAGGCGTTCTACGAGAGTGCAGCGTACAAGCAGTACGTTGCCGTCAACCAGCGCTTCGCGGACACTATCGCCTCAGCGTACGTCGAGGGCGATATCATCTGGGTGAACGACTACCATCTCATGTTGCTCCCTACTATGCTGCGCGAGCGTCTACCTAACGCCGCTATTGGCTTCTTCATGCACGTCGCGTTTCCATCCTCTGAGATCTTCCGCTGCCTCAGTGTGCGGGAGCCTCTGCTGAAGGGTGTGCTCGGCGCGGACCTGATCGGATTCCAAACCGCGAACTACGCGCGCCACTTCAGGCAGACCGTGAGCCGTATACTCACTGCGGAGGCCCTCCCGAAGGGTATCCAGCTGGACGACCGCTTCATCGACGTTGGCGTTTTTCCTATGGGTATTGATGTCAGCAGTATAACTGCGAAGAAGTGAGTCTTGTCAGTCGTACCGTCGTATCGTAGATAGCCTGACGCTTCTCCAGGCAAGACGCGGAGGTTACTGAGTGGATGAAGTCGCTCAGGCAGCGCTACGCTGGGATGAAGATTATCGTTGGCCGCGACAAGCTGGACGTTATTCAGGGCGTGCGACACAAGATCCAGGCGTTCGAGGCGTTCCTCGACAAGTACCCCGAGTACCAGGGCAAGGTCGTCCTCATCCAGGTCGCGCTCCAGACAACCGAGGAGAACGAAGCACAGGGCGGCGTCGCCGATGTCGTCTCGCACCTCAACTCCCGCTTCTCGACGCTCACGTACCAGCCCGTCGTCTTCCTCCACACGCAGGACCTCACGTTCAGCCAGTACCTCGCGCTGCTGACAGTCGCTGACGCATTTATGGTCACGAGTTTGAGGGAGGGGATGGCGCTACGTGCGCACGAGTTCGTAGAGTGTCAGGAGCAGAGACACCGCCCATTGATCTTGAGCGAGTTCACGGGCTCGTACAGTTATAGCGGGTTCAGGTCGTGTATCCCGATCAACCCGTGGGACAAGCGGTCGACTGCGAAGGCGATTCACCAGGCGCTCACCATGAGCAACGAGGAGGCCACGTCGCGCTGGGAGGTACGTTGGTTTGACGTTGTACCTACTGACAGCTCTAATACTTCTGGATAGGACCTGCACAATCATGTCGTAACGCAAAGCGCCCAAGCATTCGTCACATCCTTCCTCGTCCGCTGCCTGCGTTCGAACATCGAGCACATGCAATCCGTCGACCCGGCGGACATCGCAACGTTCGACGTCGCGCGCGTCCTCCCTCGCTACCGCCACTCGCAGAAGCGCTTGCTTCTCTTCGACTTCGAGGGTACGATCTGGACGCGCGACATCATCACCATCGCTCGCAACGCAGGTGCAACGGGTACCCCTGAATTCGAGGCCCCGGAGGAAGCGATCAAGCTGCTCAACCGGCTCGCGGAGGACCCGAGGAATCAGGTATGGCTGCTGAGCGGGCTGACGAAGAAGATGCTGGACGTGGTTGCCGAGAAGGCGCCGACGATTGGTATTGTGTAAGTTTTGTCAGGCACATGCGTCTTGTCTCGTCGGATGGCATCCTGATGTGCTCCCTTGGCTTGTTCACAGCGCGGAGAACGGATGCTTCATCAAGCCGCTGCCGGACCGCGACGGCAACTCGGCGTGGATCAGCGTCGTTGCGAACTTCAACATGACCTGGAAGGCGGCGTGCATGGAGATCTTGCAATACGTATGTCCCGTCTTGTTTCGCATGAGGATCGATCGTGTACCTGAATCTGCTTGTCTGCAGTTCACAGAGCGGACCCCCGGTTCTTTCGTTGAGGAGCGCGAAGCATCTGTCGTTTGGCGGTTCTGGACTCAGAAGGAGACCGACGAGCACAACGCGGACTGGCAGTGGGCGCACCGCCAGGCCGCCGAGGCCCAGAACCACATCTTCGACTCCATCGGAGAGCGCTACGGCCTGCGCATCATCCCCGGCTCGACCTCCTTCCTCGTGCTGCCTAACAACATCTCGCGCTCGACAGCCGTCGGAGCGATCCTCCAGCCTGGAGGGCCTCTGCGCACGCAGCTCACCGCACGCGCCGCCGCGGCGTGGCTGTCGTCGGAGGCGATGGAAGCGGACAACGCGACTGACTTTGACTTCGTGCTGGGGGTGGGCAAGGACGAGCGGCTGATGCGGCGGCTGAACGAGCTGGACAATGCGGAGACGTGCTCGACGAGCAGCAAGGGCACGGACGCGAAGTGGAAGCTGGATCCGGAGCAGGTCGTCCCGACGCTCTGGCGGTTCGCGGACGTGAAGTGAGCGTGCTTCGGGGGCAAGGTATGATAATGTAAGACTGTGAGGAACGGAAGAAAGAAGTGTGAATTTACGACACACATGTAGAACAAGGCCTGCTTTGTATCAGATGCTCTGTTTGCACCCATGTTGTACTTGCTATCTATATACTAATTCTCAAACAAAAACGCGTACAAGATTGATCTCCTAATTGGAGTATGATGGCAAGTACGAGGGCACGCCAGACACCCACGAATGCGACACCCAGAGAAGAATGGTTCAGTCTCGACTCAAAGCCGGTTCGCGATTTGGGATGATTGGGCTGTGTACTCGCGATCCTCATCAGCCCCAGAAAAAGACGACCCACAAAGCAGCTCGATGATGTCTACACTGTGGAGAAGAATAGGTACCAGTTAAATGTCCCACTCAAAAAGCTGGAAGTTACGTGCCCACCATATCCGTGGGGAACGGTTTGGCAGGCCACGAAGTCGTGGCTAGCGAGACCTCACATTATATTGCCTCAATCATGTTCCCACTAGCCGACTCGAACGACTGACCTCGTCATTACTAGTGACGCGCTCTACCAACTGAGCTAAGCGGGATTCGCTAGGATAGACTATGAGAGGGATATAGCATTCCTCCGAATCCGTATGGAACCCCAAGTGTTAAAGCTGGAGTCCAGCACTTCTTTGGCTAGTCATCGCCTTCAATCGACAAGCCTTGTCGATGAAGGTCAGTGTGTTCTACATGCATCGGACGTCGCGAGCGAAACCGCTTCTTACGCCAATATCAAAGTCGGGCGCCTGTTCTCCGGCATTCGCTCGCCTCGTCATCGGAATCCATCGGAGCAACTGTCTTGCCAGTTTGCAAGTCCCTCTGGCAGGCCCGCGGCTGTCTCGACACAATACCTCTGGCCCCTCCAGCGTAAATCGTCTACACATGACATGAAGATGCAAGAAGGCTCTGTGCTCCCACTCGCTGATCCGCAACTGATCCCTCGGGCGTCCGATATTGGCTCGAAAGCCATTCACCTATACGAGGACGTCCTCATAGCTATCTTCGATTGCTTCGACACCTCCGAATCCGTGGGTCGTACCGCTTGCGCGAGCTGCTCACGGGTGTGCTCTTTGTGGACTGAGCCCGCTTTACGGGCGTTATGGAAGAATATAGGCGCAACCTTGCTTCCGCTCTACTGGATTCTGCTCCCAGACGACTTTGTAGGTGCATGGGTCGATCGGCATGGCCGTCAGGAGCAACTAGAGATGTACATTCTCAAGGTAAGTTCTTCATGCAGATGTTACGCCTCTTCTATTCATTTCACTCGCTGAGCTTCCCGATTTCTCCTAGATCCTGAAGGATGTACCGTGGACGGACCCCGCCATCTGGGAACGATTCCTCCTCTACGCTGCATATGTGCATCACGTACCATTTCAAGGCTGTCTTCATACCTGTGAAATCCCCCTAGTACGCTCTCTCGTATCTCTTAATGGACAGAAGACCTTCCTCCCTCAACTCCGTTCACTAGCATGGTTCGAGGCACCTCACGTCGCCAGCGTTCTTGCTTGCCTAGTGTCACCATCCTTGACCACGGTTAAGCTGATGATCAACACCCTCACTCCCTCTGCGCAGGTTGAGGAGGTTCTACACTCTCTTCCTCGCCTCGCACCCATGATCTCTGACCTGACGATCGTCAGCTCTAGTCCCTTAGACCGAAGCATCCCCTCGCTGTGTAGTTTCGGACGCCTTCGGCGGTTATCCCTCCCGAATCATCTGTTGATATCCGACCTATCAGCGTTTCCATGGAGCAGTCAGGAGACGCTCATGCACCTTCGTTGTTCTACCACAGGCTTCAGGCAGCTCCTTCACCCGAACCCGGCGGGACACTTCGATCTTCCCTCCTTAAGACTCCTCTACTTGGGTCCGACCTCTACCGATGATTTGCTGGCTATCATAGAGCAACTGCACGCGCCATACCTCCGCAATCTAGCCATCAAGGTCGAGGATGAGGACAACTATCCCAGTGAGATTCTAGCTCAAACAGTCCTCCTTCGTGCAGTGTCCAGAGCGTCATTCGTCGGGACTCTGACATGTTTCGCATTCATCGTTCGGTCGCTATCGCTCATACCTAGTCGGGACCTTCCTACGACTTCCACCGTGGTCCTCGACATCATCAGGCCGCTATCCTCACTTCGAGCACTCCGAGAGCTGTCAGTGAGTTATCGGAGGAGCGATGCCACACTGGGCACGGACGACGATATCTTGGAAGTTGCAAGGGCATGGAACGACCTGGAGTCACTGAGACTCATGCTTCCTTCGTCCAAGAAGTACGACTGCGACGGCTTTCCCGGACTCGACTCGCTGGCTCACCTCGCCGAGCACTGTCCTCGTCTGACTTCAGTCAGTATACCGCTTGCTCTTGTTCACTCGCCTTCACACGTACGGTCAGGCGACGAAGGCAGCAGAGTTTGGCTGCCGGCCTCGCACCCCTTACAATCCCTCCGCCTCAGCATCCGTCAGTGGAATGACGAGGTTGCACCTGATGTGTTTGCACGATGTATCAACGATCTCTTCCCGCACCTCTCCACGAATGGGTTTCACTATCGTCATCCTATCCCAGCGATAATGGCACTGGACCATTACAAAACGAAGTGGATCCTCACTATGGAGGCCTTCCAAGCTCTGAAGATGGGGACAGGAAGGGGTGCCCGTGACCTCGAACCTTTAGACTAGACAGCGGAGATTCTATTCTCCATTCCCTACAGTGGACTCACTGCGTAGCCTGGATGAGCTAAATACTCGCATTGCGATATATGTCTGATAGCTTCTGAAACGTCATTGTATTCCATCTCTCTATCGCCTGCTCTCATGTCTTCCGTACTGATCGTTGTCCTAGTATCGAGGCGATGCGAAATATCCCCAGTCGGCGAACTCGGACTTTTACACGTTCAGGCGTTTGTAATGCAAACCGCCTCCATTCGATCGTCAACTATCCGGTATCGGCGGGCCATGTCCGGCGGCGTCGCGGACGAGCAACCATTCTATGGAATGCCAGCGGCTAGCTCAGACAGCACCCCGTGCGCACCGGCAGGAGGACGGTTTAGACAGTGATGCGCTATCTAGCTGTTTATTTCGATGATGCCGCTAGTTCAATCACTCTACTAGGGGTCAATCTGCAGTCTTCCGATCGCATGCATCGCCATGCTGTTTGTTGTTCGGAAGGGCAGAAGCTTGGAGACTGACATCGGCCACCACTATGATGCATGTTGCGGAGCAGCAAAAAAATCGCGCATTGCCTTAGAGCGTATCTGCTCAGACCGACGCGACTCAGGAGTGATACCATGACTGCTTCCTGCGTCCTTGATATATGGCTGATGTACTCGTTGCCCTTTATAGCCCGAGGCGCTCCACTTCGCCCTCATACACGCTGGCAATTCTCTGGGCAGCCCCTCCACTACACGTTTGAACTCAGCCTTACCACAAATTTGGCGCTATATTCGCTCTTTGTTTCGTCCTTACAGTGCGCAAGCGCTTCCATCTTTAATCCGGCTTGACTACCAATCTGGAACGGGCTCAGCAAGTTGGTCAGATTTGACTCTCATGTAAGTCGTCCCGGATTAAATTCTTTGCCTGATCCTCACTAAAGTGCTGGCTAGGTCGCAGTTTGACACTGCCAATCGCTTGTTCTCCACTGTGGGCTTGAGCAAGTATATTCCACTTCTTGTTCTAGTCGACGTGCTAAATTTCCTGTAGCGTTGCTATATTACAATTTTGCCACAACAGTTGATCTCGAGGTTGAACGTTACTGGTCAGGTTCTCGATCCTGGGCATCCGTCTTCTTCTTCATCAACAGATACACCGCCGTGCTTGCTCATATACCCGTTGTTTATGAATTCTTTGGCCTGATGCCAGAATCAGTGAGTCAACGTTCGCCGTCTGGATTGCTAAACTCAACAGTTGAGCTACTTCCTTTAGAGGGGAGTACACTGCACGAGAGCGCTATATATACCTCACAGCGCACCGCAGATGTCGTCAGCTCCAAACATTTCACCAAATCTATATTGTACTTGGCCAAGGCATAGTCGCAAGTAAGTCTGCTAATGATTGCTCGTGTGGGGAGTTGAAATCTTAGCCTACCCCAATCTATCCTGGAGTTTGTCTCTTGCTCCGCACCCATGCGCTGTGTATGCGCGATCGCAGGGTGCTCTATGTTTCTGGAGGGATGTTCATGATTGCATTCGCAGTCTGCGTGGTGTGTCACTCTTTTTACGTTTCGATGTTGGAGGCTGTCCACTGATAATCATCTCGCAGTGGACAATCACGTCGGTACATCTCTCGCAGGAACCCGTCCCACAAGATATGATTGCGCAGCCGGGATGCGATCTCACTGTGTCGATAAACCAGTCAGCAAACTCCACCATATGTCCAACCCTCGCTGATAGATTGCCCCTCGTACTGCAGAGCCATCTGTGAGTACCCCTTGACCCGACGCCCCGAATGTTGCCAGGTAGTAGCAGTAGCTCAAGCGACGTCTAGTTCTTGCCGTGGCATGGGGTGTCATGCTCGTACTCGATGCAACGGTCTTTACCATCACATTCTTCCAAGCTATCCATATGGACCGATTATGGAGCCATAGCTTGGCGCATCGCATGTTGATAGACGGTGAGTTCCCTTGTCGGCGTCAGTACCAATTGAGCCTTATCCGACTCTGAGACTCACTCAACTTCATGGTTCCCACAGGCGCCCTCTATTTTGGGTGGGTTTGCTGCCCTTTGTATGTGTCGGGGCCTTGATATGACCCAGTTTCCTTGCTGTAGCGTTCTCGCCGTCTTCTATCTGTCAGATATCGTCACTTATGTGGTACGTGACGGACGCTACCCCCCCCAGTTCAACATCTTTTCGGCTGATTGATAGTACGATCTGGACAGGTTGCACCGGTACGTGGACGGTCATGATCGCTATAGTCAAGGGTTCCGCTTAATCGGCAGTTTAGATTGCATACAAGGGCGTTCTGACGACTCTCACGAATATGTGTGTCGCTGCAGTGGGTTTGCTGATACCATCTCATCATCTTCCGCTGGAGTCTAGATTATCGAACGTACTCGTCTCGCGCATGATGCTCAACATCCGAGACCCCAATCTGTTTGAGCTGCCGCGGCACTGGCCTGAAGAACTGGGAAGGCTTTCCGCACCAGAGCCCCGTTGATTTTCCACGACTGCTGTCGACGACCAAGCGATCCGATATGTTGCTTGCTCCTGCTAAGTTGTACACACTATCCACTTGCGTAATACATGTAAACAATATTCCAGATTTGAGACCTACTCAGCTACGACAGCATGTCCGACTATGTGCTCGACGCCATGCTCTGATATAAGCCATCTCCCTCCTCATCCCAGAAGACCGCATCGTCGCGACGCCGCCGCAGTTCACGAATTTCCCTCCAAATCGGCTATCGACCGTGATCGTAGGATGGGGCCGGCTCAACCTGTGCATTCGGAACAAGTTCATAGATGGGCCGCGCAAACCCCTTCGTCCGCTCTTCTGGCTGCCCCCGAAGCCCGACCCCGGCTATTACGAGTTCCCTCATGATGCGGGGGAGGGAGCTGATCAACCGGCACCTTCAGCCAACCAAATCCATCCTCGTGCTCAAAATCGATGGGTATAGTGTCGAGCCAGTTTGCGACATTGACGAGCAAGGTGAACGAGCGCGGTGACGCTTGGGTGAGGAGGGATTTGGACCGACTCGCCTAGCCGGGGTTGGTTCATGTGTAGAATCTGTAGATGGAGCGATTCGAGCTTAGGCCATGCCTTGGCCATCGTGAGGATGTCAACATCGTTGACGCAGATGTCTGACCAGTAGCCTGCGAGGTGTACCTTGCGCAGCCACCTCAACGAGCGCACGCTATCGAGCAGCACGCAGGATTGTTTAGGGGGCAGGATCGGCGGGACGCCGGTTTCTGCTACGAAAAAACCGAGAACGATCTCGCGGAGGGATAGGGAGAAGGTGGAATGGGAAATTGCATGACATATGCGAGGGTGCCCAGTGGAGCGGTCGTCCTCAGAAGCTTCGTGGTAGGTGATCTCCAGGGCCATGACGTTCGGAGCGCGCAGAGTCTGCACAAATACTGTGGGATTCGCTAAAGTGGCTTTGGAGAACATCGGAAGGATTCAAGGGTAGACACAGATGGGAGATATGCAAGCGATGCCGGGGTAACGACAAGATGTCCCGTAAGATCCAATCTACGAATTCGCTTGAAACCTGAAAGACAGGGTAGGACGTCGGACCGTGTAGTTCGCGGCGGCACTGAACTGATTTGCAGCTGCCATAGGTGCGGTACGATATTCGAGAGGCTGGCCAGAGTGGACTTGACAACTGACTCCACCGGCTTGATGGCGGCAATATGATAGTCAAAGTGCTTCAAGGACGGAGAGGCTAGATCAAAGAGAACAGATCCCTTCTCTATTGACATCGCGTCATTGTCAAACTAGCACAATGACTTTCAGGATGGCAGGGAAGTCTGCCTGCCGTTGTGGTCTAGGAGAGCACGAAGGAGGCCGATGTCAGTCTCGGGGCTCCAACGGACGATGTGGTGGATCCGAGCAGCACAGCAGAGGAAGCGTCCCCAAACTTCAGGGTTTGTGAACGGTCGTTCTACCACCACCTGTGAATCGGAACAATACACTATCAGCTTCATCCGACACCTGCAAGGATCCCGATCGACTTACTTTGATTACATACTCGTGGTATTCCAGTGACTCCGTTCGCCGTCGGTAACTATCTCGATGTTCCCTCTTCACAGACTCTGGAGGCAGGCGCAGGACACTGTACAGGGGAAGGAGGGAGGCCGACAAAGTCTTCCATAGCGCCTACAGTGCGGGTTCGGACCACGATCGACAGACCAGAGCGCATCGTGCGCACGCTGCGCGGTCTACTCCGTCTTCGCCCAACACGTCGAACTGATCGAAAACCGTTATGAGGATGTCTCGATAGAGGAGCATCGTGGTGGCGGTGATGTAGAAGGGCGGTCGAATCACCCGCTCATGAGCGCCGCGGGCGATTGCAGTTACAGTCCTCGGCTTTCAGCGAATTGACAACCACAGTTGACTCAGTTCAGTCAAGTCCTATTCCTCATAGTATCTCAGCTTGCTTCCTAGAGTGCCATGCTGAACGTGAACATCAGAGGGCGTAACGCAGGTCAGCGAAGCCACGAGCAGGCTGTCTTGAAGGTCAAATTTTGTAAGGGCCTGTTCGGCAAAGAGTTGGAGTTAGAGTTACCGGCATTTCATGCCCAAATATAGTAATAATATCTCGGTTTTCAATCTCGAGAAAACTCGAGTTACTCGGGCGAGTGCATGCGTTCGGATGCCTCCCAGTAACTCCGGGCGGTTGTTATCAGCTCAGGTCATAAATTATCTCGAGGCTCTACCCTTTTGGCAGCCTGCTTGATTCTCTCTCTATAGAGTATTGGGATGGCTACCATGACCGGCGTAGATTGTGATCAGACATCCGAGACCATCCTACTTGAGGGATTAGGGCAGGCTACTACCAAGGCCCGCCCAGTCAAAACAATGACAGTTACTGCTATAATAGCCTGTCTTCGGCGCTCTATTTGA